GCCGCGCCGCCGCGCACTTGCTGCCGCTGCCCCCGCTGCAGCCGCGCCGGCCTAGGCCCCTCGGCGGCCCCTGCCCTCCCCGTCCGTCCGCACCGGGTCGGCTCGGCCCGGCCAGGCTCTTCTCTCTCCTCCCCACCCGAGGTGCCCTGCCCCCGTGCTCGGCCCCACCTGCCCGCCCGCCCGGCCCGAGCCTCATTCTCCGCCTTGTTCTCCGGCAGGCAGGCAGCCGCAGGCCAGGGCTCCCGGCTCCGCAGCGCAACGCCCCGCGCCCCGCTCCGCCCCGACGCGCCGCGCAGGCCGTGCAGGCCGCCGTGCAGGCCGCCGTGCAGGCCGCGCCACTCGCAGTCCGGCCCGTCCCGACCCGGTACGCGGAGCTTCGCGGAGCGGGAGGCCGCAGCAGCACGCGACCGCGCCGACCGCCGTCACTTGCTGCCGGCTCGAGGACCGCGTCGGAGAGTGCCCCCCCGAAGACGTCGCGTCGTATCGCGTCGTGTCGGACATCGCTTCGCCGCGGAGGACGAGTAAGGCGTCCGGAACACCCTCGTCGCCGCCGCGCGCTCGTCACTGACTGGGAGCGTACCTGCCCGTCGACGCCGGGTGTGGATTTCTTTTTTACCGAGAGTTGTCCAAAGAAAAAAAAGTGCCCCTGCTGTGCTCTGTGCGTGTGTGGTTTTTCCTGCCGTGTCAAGAAGTGCGTGCGGCTGTGAAGTGTGTCTTGTTGGCTACACAGTGTGCGCCACTCTCCCTGACCTTCCGCGAGTGCCCTCCGAGGAAGTAATCCCCTGCCGGTAAGTTGGAGACGGGTGTTTTGGCGTTCCCCTGTCGGCGTGTGCTGTGCAGGCCACCGTACCGTCCTCCCAGCTGGGTGTGGGTGCGGCCACCAGCTGACCACCAGCTGCTTCTCGGAAGGGTCGGCTAGTCGGGCCCCGCGGGAGGATCAGCTGATAGACCAGGAGGGTCTGCAGGACTTAGGGGAGGCGGAGCGGCGCCCGGCGCGAGGCTAGGCCCCGCCGGCCAGGACCCCGCCGATCAGGTCCGACGGGTCTCACCCGCTAGGTTCAGGACCAGGAGCAGGTCCAGGCGCAGGTCCAGGCGCCTCGCCGGCCGGAGGCACCGCTACCTCGCACACCTTCACCTTGCCGTGCCGCCACCCCTGCCGGCGCCCGGGAGGTGCCAGCTGTATCAGCACAATTAGCACGTATCGTCCGGCAGTCCGAAAGGCGGTCACGCGGAAATGACCGGAGTGACAACCGCTATCAGGAGCGGGTCAACGTCTCGGTGCACGGGACGGGGTGCCGCGGCGCCCGCGCCAGAGTTCGGACCTTTCGGGCGAGTCCTTCGCGAAATGGCGGTTGGGCGGCGAAGGAAGGGCAGAGCAGGACGGGGGCAAAGGGGGGAAGGGTGAACAACCTGGGACTGCGGTTGGTGATCCTCGTGGAGCCTGGAGGTTCAGCCGTGCTCAACCACTCAGCCCAGTGACGCGGCCGCTCCGCCCCGCCCCTCCCTCCAGCCCCACCCTCTCGCCCGTCTGCCCAGGCTCGTTGAGCCAGAGTTGTCGAGAAAGGAATATTGCGCATTTTGTGTACACCGTGCCAGGAGGAGGCGGCCGGGCCGCTCGGACGGCCGGAGACTTGAATGAGCGACGGGGCCGGGAGAGACGAAAACGGAGCACAAACGCTTCGAGTGGCGGTGCTGCCCTCAGTCCTGGTGGTCCAGGACGGGTCCAGGACGTGTCCAGGACGTGTCCAGGACGTGTCCAGGACCGTCGGCGAGGCCGGCCCCTGCCCCGGCGGCCGGCGGGCACGTCGCGTCGCGGCGAAGGAGCTCTCCGGCGAGGCGCGTCTGGACTGGACGCATTCCTGGACCAGACGGGGGGCGCGGGGGGGCGCGGAGAGGGGGAGGCACGCGGTTTGTGTTCTCGTGTGCAGCTCCACTCAGCTGCGCCGCTCTCTGCTCCGCTCGCCGCGGGACTGTCCTGCAAACAAACTCCTTCGCAACCCTTTTTGTCAAACGGAAGGATTTCTGGACTAGGCCGACATGCAGCCGCCTTCGCGCGGAAAATAATCACGTTTGTTGCATTATTTTATTTAACAAAGTTTTTCCCACACTTGAGCATTCTAAATTTTTGAACTCCTAGTGAGACTTGAATCGCACTTCTCCACCATTCTGGATGATAACTAGTTCGAGTCGCAAAGCAAAATTGGTGTTGGTCAAATCCCTTCTCGGCTGCCTCGCAAGATTTTTTTTCATATTTCGTTTTCTTTTTGAAAACTACTTTTGCTGCAGTGTCTTGCGACGGCCTGCGACCGCGGCTGCCCATGCAGCTGGTGCACGCGGCGCGGCCAGCGTTCCAAGTGCAAGGCTGCGGCCCGGCCGCGGCCCTGGCCGTGGCGGGATAGGGCTTTGCATGCCGCCCACACGCCGCCCCGCGACTCGCCCGCGACGCGCGGAATCAGGTCACCTCCCCTTCGTGTTGTTGTTTTGCGACTCGGAGCGGGTTTTGGCGCGGCGGCGGCGGGGGCCGCGGGGCCGGGGAGTTTTGGCTGGTCCGTTTTCTTACCTTTATTTTCTCTCTCTCCCGCACCCAGTGTCCATGTCGCCCGTCGTCCTGCCCCCCTCCCATCTCTCTTTCGTACACTCGTGATGATCCCGAGAGGTGCGACGGGTTGTGGGTCGCGCCGCGTCGCCGTCCGCCCGCTCGCGAAACAGGTGATCTCTAAAACACCTCTAGCTCCGCGGGACGAGGGCGGAGCGTGGATCGAGCCCATTTCCTGCTCGCCCCCGGGCGCCCCATCCCCTCGGGCGCGGGCTGTGCGCCCCCGCGAGCCAGCGGGGCGGGACCCATGGTTTCTGAGCGCGTGGTGCAACGGGTGCGAGCGACGCGATGCAAGCGAAGTCGCAGCGTTAATCCGAGTTCAACAAACCCCGCCTCTCGCCGTCAGGTGCCGTCAGGGGCGCCCCATGGGCCGCCCATTCAAACCAGTCGCCCAGGCACACGTCTACAACTAGCGTATTATCGCGCGGCCCCGGGCCCCGCGGGCGACGGGATGAGACGATCCGCCAGCCGACCCGCGACTCTGTCATAAAACAATAAAACATATTTTTAATTTTTTTTATTTACCATCAAATAAATTCCAAATGCCGTGGCTGTTCTTACGACGAGCACTTGCTTGGACTTCGTTCATTTTTCGTGGTTTTAGAACGCACGCACAATGGCAAAGGAACCAGATAAAAATAAAAAACAGTTTTGTTAAAAAAAACAAAACACAAAACTTATTCAGTTTGTTGAAGACGTGTGCATACGCCTGGGTCCATACCTGTCGGCGAATGCCCTTGACCGTGGCCCTTTGAGTCCTGCTGAGGTGTGTGTAGGGGGGGGGGGGGGGGGGGGGCAGTGAGGACCGAGGGCCCGTCCCACCCGCCTGAACTACAATAATAGGACGATTAATCACCTGCCTAACCTAGAGAAGAAGGGCCTCCTGGCCCCACCCCTGATAAGTGCGTGCACAACGTGCGCACAGCCTCCGCCTAGTCTGTTCCCCGCACTTTCCATTTCGAAGCGGGGCGTACTAGGTGTCAAGAGCGGCGACACGACTCTCTGTTGGCCCTTCGTCACCTCCATCCTGGCCGCCACGCTCCACCACCGCGTCCTCTTAAATCGTCGATTGGATTCCTCTTTCTCTGGCCCCGCCACTTGTCGTCCGTTTCGTTCACGTCCGCCGCCTCCTCAGAACGAGACTGAAACAACAGGAAAGAAAGTTGCCCTTTTCTTTTTCCGTGTAATTTTTTTTCATTTTCTTCTTCACTTGTCAACGCTCTTTCAAGACCTGCTCTCGCTCGGCAGACTGACCGCGCCCGAGACAGCCAGTCGGTTACCACCTCCACCCCCTTCCCCGTGAGTTGCGCCCCGTGGAGTCAGCTAACGAAGTGTGCCCTTGCCTGCCTTCTGATCCATGATCTTCCTCTGCAAAGGGCGTCTCGACCCGACCAGGTCTAGTGCTGTAGTGCCCCCCCCCCTCTCCCCCTCCACTTCCCCACGGTGGCCGAGCGACGCCGACGGGGCCACACAAGGGAAGCAGGTTATTATAACTGAACTATTCGTAATTTCTTTCTTTTTGTGAGCGCTGCTAGCGCGGCGGGAGCCGGTGGCCCGCGGGCCGGCCCCGTCTTGGCGAGGGCCTAGCGGCGGCGTGGCGTGGCTTGGCGCGGGGCCACTCACGGCACACACACTCGCACACAAACACACATCTTCCCCTACCACAACCCGTTTCGAGACGAATTGAGAACAGCGTACCGTAAGCCGGGCGGGCGGGCGGTGGGGCGGGGCGGGGCGTGCGCTGCCCGGCCCCCGGCCCCGCGGTGAGCGCCGCCGCGCTGATGTCTGCCTCGTTGTTAAGTAATATGAACTCCTGGTTGCCTCGCGGCTCTGCCAGGCACTGCCACACCCGGGTTCGCCTAAATCACGACAAGGCGCGCGTACTGCTTTTGAGATGCCGCAGGCGCGGAAGTTTGTTCCGAGCCACATCGCTCTCCGCGGCTCGTACTTACTTACTGTACTCGCGTACTGTACTTACGTACCCCGCAAGCTCTTCTTCTTCTCATGCCCGCGGCCCCTGGGACGCACGGCCTTTTGTACGGGATGGGTGGCTAACGCGACGGCCGCCGGCCGCACAAAAGCTCGCTCTGCGGGACGCTCGCGGCGTGGGATCAGATCTGAAGCTCGCGGCGCCCCCTCCCCCCACTCTCTGCCCCCCACGGCATGTCCTCCTTTCGCCGTGTTATGATCGGTAAGGAACGGGACACGGCTCACGAGTCGAAGACGCCCGGGGACCGTCGCGCCGGCGAATGGCCGCCGCGTCGTCGGGACGTCTCCAGGTCACCGCGGGGTCGCCCCCCTCTGGACACGTCCACGACCAGGATGCAGCCGGGGGGCAGGAGGGCGCACTGTCTGGCCACCTTCGGAGAGCCCTTCACCTCGAGAGCAACTGGAACTGGAAGCGGGCTGAGCAGCCTGCAGCTCGGCGCTTCTGCTGCGGCTCTCCTGCTCATGGGCCCGAAAACGAAAGCAAGGGCGGGTCGGGTCGGGGCGCGGGGTGTCGAGCACGGCGAAAGGTGCTGGAGGCGCCGGGGCGAGGCGGGTGACAGGGCGCTGCGGAGGGTGATGTAAGCCGTACGGATCCCTGCTGCATCAATGCTCATCAATTTTATAAATTTTTTTCACGCGCCTCATCATTCTGCTGGAACTCCTGGAATTCCAGGATTCCCGCGTCGGGGGCCTGCGCAGCCCGGTGTACATGACTTCTAAAAGTATTTTTTAAGACACCCCGGGACACCACCAACCACCATGCCATGCAGAAGTCGCTGAATAGTTTTTCTTTATGTTTTTGCTCCTCATGATCGGCCGCTCGCAGCGGTCCCATAGGGCCGCCGGTGGCGCCGCCGACCTAAATACATGGGATCGCTGTGGAACGAACACGGCAGCCATCATGTCGTTTGGCCGGGCGCGGAGTCTCTCTAGGCGTGACGACCGGTGACGACGCGCGGGGCCCGGGCAGCCTATCGCGGCGGCGCTCATTCCAGAGAATGGCGATGGCGATGGGGCTTCGATTTCGGCGGCTAATCTAGGCCTGGGGGGCTTGGGGGAGGGGGGGGGGAGACCTCCGCCATTATCAGCCGCTGGACTAGAACAAGCCCGCTGTGCTGCACGCTCGGCCCGTTTATTGTGTTTTTTTTCCTCCAACCTCTCTCTCTCTCCCGGCCACTCGCCTCCCGCGTCCTGCTCGCAGCG